GAATAATGTCCGCTCCCGACGGTGGTCTCTATTTAGACTCGTATTCCCTTCTCGATGTTTCCCAATCGAGGTATTTCTGGAATCCATCGCGACTTCCGTTTCTAGGCCTTTTTTTAGCGAACGCCGCTTCGAGCGTTTTTCTGGACGCCGCATTCGAGACTTCCGGTAATCCGCTCGAGGCTTGTTTTTGTGCGAGCGCCGAGGGGTAAACCGCAGAGGAAATCAATTGTACACGCTAGAGGATATCAAAGGAAAACACAGGAAATATAAAAGGGAATCAGAAGAAATCAAAGGAAATCACAGGAAATCACAGGGAATCAAAGGAAATCAAAGGAAATCAAAGGAAATCAAAGGAAATCAAAGGAAATCAAAAGGAAATCAAGAGGAAATCAACGAGAAATCAAGAGGAAATCAATGAGAAATTAACGAGAAATCAACAAGAAAACAAAGGAAATCCAAAATCATCATAGCAAATCCAGTTAAACTAGATATTTTCTAGAACTAATAAACGTAACATGTACGACATAAGTCATAGCATTCATCATAAGAAAGAAAATATCAATTTAATCTTAAAAGTGGAGAATAAATAACCTTTTAAGGGCATAATTATAGAAAATTTCAGCATATATTAATAATTGACAGCATGATATTTCAACTTGACAAATATTAAAGTTGTAGTTAATGAAGTGCAGTTCCGATGAGAAATGATAGATTATATTTCTTTATACCTACAAACCAAATTTATAATTTCACCCCAAATTAGTTTTTAAAAATTGAGTTTATGATATGAGGTACCAAATTCATTAAGTTCGGGTCGTGCAAAAATCTTACTGATGATATGTTCATACCTTGGAAGTTTAGCTCTCAAACTTCTGGGAGTATGTTTAGAAGCCTTAAATCAATGACCTAAACTTTTAGCACAGTTGTTAATTTTAGTATAAGAGATATGTTGCATCGAAGTAACAGACTGCAAACTATAAACAACATTAAAAACGATTTGGATAAAAAATTCGTTTTTCCTAGAGAAATCAGGAAAAAAAGTTCAATCATGAAGAGAGATTTTGTGAAAAATGTGACTTAGGAAACGTTTCAGATAAAGATATATATACAAATCACCGTAGAATCAGCTTTACGGGATTGTCTGCGTGACACTGAAGATTTAGGAATGAAATGTAATAGATTTCAACTATGTATTTTTCCCTCCGTGTAAAGACAATGAATGCAATCACGAAGCTGAAGATGAAATGTTTAGTGAAGAACAATGCGATCACATTGAAAATTACAACAATTCTCAAATAGCCATGAAACGTAACTGTTTTCAAAGTTTGGAAAACGATCCAGTTGACCAAGATGAAGATTTACTGAATGATCTTTGCACAGTTTCGTACGAATCTAAGAAATTTGACAGAGACATACACCTCAGAAGTTTTGATAGTGACGATATTTTTGTTGAGAACAGTGATCTAGTCAGAATACGCTTAGATAATACAACAAAAGTTATAAAAAAGTCTTCGCTTTACTGGCTGTTAGACAATGAAAAGGATCGCGTCAGTGTGGATCGTCTCCAAAGATTTATTCAAAATAAGAAATGTGATAGTAGTAGAGTTAACTCAGAAACAGATACCTGCCTTCAACATAAAGATGTATCTCAAATTCAAAAACCAGACCAAATTGGAAAACAAAAAAGACGCTATAATATATCAAGTGACTCATCTGATCTAGACAACCCAAGTAGTATCGAATATGATGACAACACGGACACCAAAAGTTTGAATTCTTCCAATTATTCTGATGATTTGAATCCTCGTTTGAATCTCAAGGCTGAAAATAGTAAGACTCATCGTTCTAAACCAGACTTAAATATAGACGATTATATTATAGTACAATTAACAGCTCAAAAACAAAACAAAAAATGTTATATTGGTAAAGTGTTATCAGTTAACCCTATTTTTTGTGATTTTTTTAAAAGGAATCCAAAAATTCCGGATGCTTTTATGTTTCCGGACATTAAAGATCAGGGGCAGATCCAAGAAAATTGATATATAATGAAACTACCTCCACCTCAGGTACTCAGAAGAGGCAGTTTAGTTTTTGAATAAAAGTTATTGAAAAAATATTTGATTTAATTCTAGTTTTTTTTTTAAGTGATGTGATTAAAATTTGTGATAATGTAACCTCAACCTGGGTCGAGATTTGTAGAAGTATATATCGTAGAGAATACTAAAGTAAGAAACTGTGCAAAATTCTAGGTGCCCATGAACACTTTTAAAGGGGAAAATTACCTCTGAAAATTTATCAAGTGGGTTTATCCACTCCTTTATTGTGCAAAAAAAATTGTTACGTGTTAAATTTAGCATTTCAAAAGTTTTTTTCTAATATGCTTTATTTGAAAGTTGTGAACAAAAAATTAAAAGTGTTATCATCTGTATTTATGGGTAGCTAGAATTTAGTACAGTTTTTTACTTTAACATCATCTACAATATATACACAAATCTCGACCCAGGTTATGGGATAAGTATTTTTTAAGAAGTTGTTTTATTTTGTGATATTTTGATCCAACAGAAATGCTTTACTTTTATGTTTAGAGTTACCGTTTTTTTTAACATTTAATAAAATAAATGAAACTACTTGTTTTTTCTGTTTATGCTACCATAATAAATGAATAAACCCAATTTTTAAAAATTAATGACTTAAGTTATTATTGTAAGTTTGATTTAGTAGGTCAAACTTTAACATGATCTTGTATGCACAACACAGAGATAAACCTAATAGAATGATTTTGGACTATTTGGTATTCATTAATTACCTCTGTGAACGTATCAGCCAGTCGTTGTTGCCTTATGAGTCACTGATAAGTAAAAACTGCTGACGTAACTTAAAATATCCTTGGCCTTATGTACTTTTAATTTCGTAAAGTCAAAAGCAAAATTTCAAAATATAATTTATTAAAAAATTAATAATAATATATAATATAATTTATTAAATCTTTGAGTGATTTAAACGAACTAATTTGTACACAGCAGACATTTTTAATTTCAAAATTAAAATAGACTGAATGTGCAAAAAATCTAGAATATTGCATATGTTCACTTTTAGAACAAACATTTGACCCAAGAAAGTGTAAAATTCGAACGTATACTTACTCTATTGATTTAGACATCTGAAACCTCGATTTTAGAGTAGCGTTCTTTTTGTAAGTAAAATCAGATTTTTTTTCTTAAACATTTCAGTTTGTTGCTTAGCAGCACAATACATTTTATTTATTTATTTTTATCGTCTAAAGGGAAAGCACTTCAGCTTAGCTAGTCACCGTACGTTAGTAAACACTTGGTAAAAAAAGGTTTAAATTCAACATCATTATCGGCAAAACAAAAAAGTCAAGTTAAACAAAAGTTAACAATCGCCCTGTAGTACATTATGTAAACAAATTTTGAGGAAATCAAAAGGAAATCACAGGAAATCAAAGGAAATCATAGGAAATCAAAGGAAATCAGAGGAAATCAAAAGAAATCGGGGGAAATCAACAGGAAATCATTGTCAAAAGGAAATCAATTGTACACTTGATGGTCGGCGGTTTACCCCTCGGCGAGCGCTCTCTGGGTGACGTCATCCACGATGCGTCATTATCGCCGTAAATAATCGTTACTCTTTAAATCATTCAATTTTGGGAGTTTAATGTTACTATAGTGGTTCCGGCGAGAGATTGGGATATTTTGACAGTTGACATGTAAGTTTTCAGCAACCTAACACTATAAAATACACTGAAATTCCTACCCTGTCACTCACAGCTGGCTGTCACTGTCTCTGTTACAAATGTAAAACTACTGAAAGTTCCATTACTAAGGTTAGGCCACTTTTCTGACTCTCATCTTCAGTGCTTCTTTAAGGTACGTGTCCATTTGAGACGGCGCTTACGAAAAATAATTCCAAGATCAGCCCGTAAGGCCATGCTCGGGCCGGCCTTCAACTGGATAAGCGTATCGCTTGCCCAGGGTTTCTACCTGGTTTCTCCGAGTTTGTGAGCGACTCTAACAATACGAACACATTTCGAGTACGACAATAATCTCCCATAAGTCTGTTTTACGTATATTTTTTTGGTAATAACTTAATTTATTGCAATAATAGACCTCTGAAATTGGAAATGACAACTTAAGACTAAAGATGGTATAAAATCAAAACCAGAACTCTCGTGAGAGTTGCTCTCCAGGGGATACGTACTTACACTTATGTTTTGTAAAGCTTAAGATTAGAATGATTTTGAAATTTCAAATTTCGCGCGGATGGTACACTTTTCTTCGCGTAGATTTAGTGACCTTTCTGTCACTCAATCTCTCACCGTACGCAGTATAGTAGCTCTAGTGACTTCGCTTATAATGAGTGTATTTTTTGAAGTATTTGCTTCTGCTTCATCAATACAAGAAAAATCTTCTTACAAACTTTTTTGCTCAATGATTCGTCCATCTAGCCCCCCGGAACAGTAAAGGACTTCCATCTACCGTGACTCTTGGAAGTTAGTAGATCTCCACCGTCGTCAACTAAAAATGACGCTGAGGAGCGGCGGAAGCAATGTCCTGTGTATAGAGCAGAATCTGGTAACTGTAAGGCTCTCAGCTTAGGAAATTTAGAGAACGTATTTTTCCCAACGCTTGTACAGTGCATTTGTTACGCTTGTAATTAATAAAAAATCTGTTGTGTGGCACGTTCTTTGATCTTAGGTTTTTATACATCCTGTATAATTGTAAACAACGTGTGTTCTTGCTCTCGTCATCGACAACGGTAAATACTCTAGCCTTTTTGATTTTCGTATCTGGAATGTTAACAACAAGAACAGAACCACGACCTTCTATATGACCTACCGGCATATCAACTAATTAGGCAGTTCTACATACAACCTCCTGCGAAACCCATTATATATACATATTTAAACGCCAATCGCTCTTAAATATAGCAATTAATATACTTATTACTTTTTGCAATCTATTAAGACACATTTTTTACAGACTTGGTGATTCATGCCAAAACTGCAAATGCGATGGCATCGAGATTTGCTGCCTCCTCCCCAAGAACGACACCGTTGGCCCTCGCCAACCCGATAACTTGACATCTTGTGGCTACAGCAACCCCGATGGCATCGGTCGCGTGAGCGCCGAAGGCAGCGAATCCCTCTTCGGAGAATTTCCATGGATGGTACAACTGTACGAAGACGGAGCCTACCGATGCGGGGGCTCCTTGATCCACCCTTCCGTCGTCCTGACGGCTGCTCATTGCGTCAGGTTCTCCCACAACAGAACCTACACTGTACGGGCCGGCGAATATGACACCTCAGGTACCAACGAAATTATGAAGCACCAAGACCGTGACGTGTCCTCCATCAAGGCCCATGAAGGATTCAGAGAAAAAATTTACTACAATGACATCGCCTTGGTGTTTTTGAGCGAACCTTTGCAGCTTAAGCCACACATCAACCTCGCGTGTTTGGCACCATCAGGGGGTATTTCCACGAATACCAGATGCTACACGACTGGTTGGGGGAAGCCTAAATTTGCTCCAAATCAGAGTTCTTCGACCATTTTGAAGAAGGTTGATCTGCCTTTGATTGGGAGACCTGATTGTCAGAAAGCCTTGAGAAAGACAAGAGTGGGGCAGTATTTTAATCTTCACGAAAGCTTCATCTGTGCGGGAGGGGAGAAGGATAAAGATGCGTGTACTGGAGATGGGGGTGGTCCTTTGTTTTGCCCTATTGAGGATCAGGAGAATAGGTTCCAACAAATAGGGGTAGTGGCCTGGGGTATTGAATGTAATATGGAAGGGGTTCCTGGAGTGTATGCGGATGTTTCGGTTTTGAGGAAATGGATTGATAAAGAGATGTCTTCTAGAAATTATGAAACTAACGTGTACCAGCCCAGTTAATTTTGAGGCGGTTTATACAACTACTGGTTTTAGTCAGCCTTGAACATTTATGACCGGTGTCAGACGTTCCAGACCCCAGATTTACGTCATTTAATTGGATTTTATTTCATTATTGTGATATTGCTGTAATAATATGTATGTTTTTCGTGTACTCAATAGAAAAGTGCGTCTTTGTTTTATAGAAAATGATAAAGAAAAGTGATACTTCTCTTAGCAACACTTTTCCAGTTAGCAACCAACAAGCATTAATCTCTTCCGTTTCTATTGATTCTATTATTGTTTTAAGTACCTGTACGTGTTCATATGGTGTATTTATTTCAATTTTTTTGAAAAAAATCACATTTTAATTTCAAACAGTTGTAAACTGCTACAGATTTCAAATGTTAAGCAAACTCTTTAAATCAAATTTTTCTAAGATTATTCTTCAGTTTTTCAGTGTAGTAACCTGTCTGTGTTTCATATAGCTTGCTTTGTTTTTTTTTTTGTATTTCTAAAATAAATATCGAAAAAATGTGTAGGCACATGAAATAAATTTAGTTTTATTTATCGTCGTATTTCATTTTCGAGTCTTGAGTATTGACGTTAAACTCATTTCAAGCTGACTTTCGGTGAATTCCTTAGAAAGTTTGACCTCCTATTGTCCTGGAAACAAAATATCTTGAGTATTTTGATGGATTTTTATGAGAATTTTGGCGGTATCAAACAGACGATTTGAATATGGAGTGAAAAAGGAATTGAGCAATACATATAAAAAAAAATGGTTGAAGATTATTTCGACAGGACATCCCTCGCCCCTGAAGTACAGTTCAGCAAACCCTACTTCTTTGAAAAATTGTAAAATTTGATTGTACGAACTTTTGTTTCTGATAATCTCTATACATAAAGATAATGGTACCAGTAACAATGTAAGAAACTCAATGACACTTTACGTTTTTTTTCTTCCCCTTTAAATGTATTTTGGGACCACACAACAACAAACTTTGTTTTTTAATGACGTAATATATATATATTTTTTTAGAGATTCATATAGAGCTTAGTTTTCTGAATTCATTAATGTTTCATACTTTAAATACCCATACTCCGCCAGTGCCTGTGATTCGAACGCAAGATGTTACGAAAACACACTTGCTATGAAAATTTTGAAGTCACGTCATCAGGGAGACAGACGAACAGAAACGGGAAACTTATTTTTTCGTACTCAAGGGGTCGTGAAACTTCGAGAAAATATGAAAGTGTTCAGTCGCCGAACTGACTCTATTGCAGCAATAATTCCTTAGCTTACGCTTGATAAGTAAAAAGAAAAATAACAAAAAACAGAATAAGGGGCACTAATAAAATCCAAAATGTCCAATTTGAAAGAAATTATAATATTTTAATTTTTGAATAAATACTCTGTACGTTAAGGCTCAGTTGTATTCATTCCACAACAAAGCGCGTACCTTCATTTATATCCCCACAAAATATTGTAATACAAGTCTTTAAATAATCCTATTTCGAATTTTTTTATGAACCTCCCTCGTTGCCAAAAAATTTCAAGGAAGTTGAAATAACACATCAGAATTTCAAAAATTAACGTAGAAACTTCTAAGGTAGTCGATTTGAAAAATGAAGTTGTTGTTAGGTGTTAAAAACAGAACACTCTGTACAGTTTAAGTTAATTTTAGTATATGGTCCTTCAGTCTTTAACTTTTTGTTCTATTTTTAATAATGGCTAATAAAATTTTGAGAACTGCACGTTTAGTGACGCACCGTCTATAGTGTGTCCATTTACAAAAGAAAGTCAAAGGAATAAAAATTTTGGTTTGACAAAATACAAGTATTTCACCTACAAAACTTTTAAATTATGCAGATTTTTTAAGGTAAATCAATTGTGTGTGTTAGATGTCATAGGAAGGTCTAGATAATCTACACCTATATATATTTAAAAGATTTTAGAAAAATTTTGAGTATGACAGAATTTCCAGCAGATTAGAATTTAGACGTTCTACAAATTCCAACGATTTTTAGATTTTGGAGATCATAGAAGTTACAGGGATTCTAGAACTTCTCTAAATTTTGAAAGAAGTACATATTTTCAGCGTTTTAGAATTTTCTGAAATTTTTGTCGGATATTTCTAAAATTTTAGAGGTTCTTGAGATTTTAAACGTCTTAAATTTAAACAGTTAAAGGAATTCACAATTTGAAAATATCGAAAATTCTAAATATTATTCTCAAAATTTTAGAGTACATACCCTGAAACTTTTAGAATCTTGAAGACTTTCATATTCTAGAACCAGATTTTAGACATTTTGAAGATTTTTAGAAATTTTAAGATTATACAAATTTGACTAACCCTAGAATGTCTACAAGTCATAAACTTTTAAAAATTGTACATATTTTGGAGATTCTGCATTATTATACAGAGAGGTCGAAAAAGAAATTAGTCAAAGTTGGCCATGCACGACAAGCCGTTTGTCGTAATTTAAATTTTTTTATTAAATGTCAGATTGACAGTTTAGTATTAGAATGTATGATTGGCTGCTTCTATTGGAAAATTTTCCACAAATTCTTCAAAACAAGCCATATACGAATATTGCGATTCACCATTTTCCAATTTTGACCCATTTCTGAAGTAATACTCTAACAGAAAAAGCTTTAATTTCGTTTGATAACATTGCAAATTACTTTTGTTATTACTTATTTTAAACCAAGACAAACGTCTTTTCGTGCATGGCCAACTTTCACTAATTTATTTTTCAATCTTTCTGTATTTAGGAAAATTTATACGTTTTCAAGATTCTAAAAATATTGCGGCTTTCAAATGATTTTTTTTTTTCAGAAATTTAGATATTCAAGAGAGTCTAAAACGTTAAATGTTCGGGAGTTCTTAGAAATAAAAAAATAGGTCGAAGGTTATTTCAACAGAACTTCCCTCGCCCCTGAAATACAATAAAACAAATTCAACTTTTTCGAAAAATTATGAAATTTTTGCAAAGTCACATATCCCTTTGAATAGGTGCAGTGTAACACTAATGATAACAGTACCGCATTCCAAAATTTTCGGGAAAACGGAGTGAGCTGTTCCCGATTTAATCAATAAAATAATTACATTAATTTGTATGAGTCACCCTGTATAAGAAATTTAAAAACTTTTAATGCAATGATAATGCACAAGATCGTATTTTGCACATTTTGGAAAGAATTTATTCGGCAAAATTCTAATATGACGTCATCAATTTTTTCGGAGGGGATAAACGAATACATTTTGCTTAACAATTTAAAATGATTACGATAACCTTAAGATATTTATAAAATTCGATACGAATTCACACACCACAAGTGCAGGAGTATCGTATTTTATAAAATGTAAAAAACTTTTTATTATAAATTTTGGAGATGACGTCATCCTATTGGTGGTGGGGATGATTAGGCAAGTTTTAGTTAGCCTTTAACCATCTATATGTGGTATACGTAATATACATACATTTAGAGATTCTACAAATTTCGAAAAACCTGAATATGTTACAATCTTTGGCGATCTAGAGACCTTAGAACTTGACCAGTCCATTTATTATTATTATTATTATTCTGGTACCCATATTATATTCTAGATAATCTGCAAAGTTTCGCAGGTTCTAGATGCTGCAAAAAAAAGCTTCTAGAGATTTGAGTGTTTATAAATTAAAACGGATTGCCAAAGGTTATTTCGACAGAAGTTCCCACGCGCCTGAAGTACAATCGAACAAATACAACTTCGAAAAGTTATCAAATTTAACTTTGAGAATTTTATTTTCTTTTTATCATGACCCCTAAGATGTAAAATTATATATATCCGAGAATTGTTAAAGTGGAGGAAATTAAGTTAATTTGTTTCAGCCCGAAATTTTAATTCAAATCTGGTCACCACAATCTAAATGTTTTTACTTAAATTGTCACATTATTCACACTTCAAAACTTGTCATTTGAGATGTACAATAGTTCATTTATGGCAAATAAACTAATCTCAAGCGTTGACCCATTTTGAGAGAAAGGACCTGGAGAATTATCATGAGTTAAATTATTATAATCGTGCCCTCAAAATAGGAGGTGTATTTTTTAATCCTATTTACACCTTGAATTTGAACATTTATTCTCGAAAAATTCAAATCTGGTCCCCACACAATGCATAAAATTTATATTAATAAATTTATATTAATAAATTTTATAAAAAGTTAAAGTAGGTTAAAACAATGAAGTTATAATTAAAATAGTAAAAAAGAAAGATTATAAGATGCTGATACCAAGTCTAAAGTTCAAAATTTAAATACCATCACGTGCATTATGCATTTTCAAATATACAGGGTATTTGATTTGTAAGTTACATTTTTCAAATGTAATTTTCTAGAATGCTGTGGTCCTAAAGACAACGTCTATGGTATCCCAAACATCCATATAACAGCACTTTTTACCTTCAACCTCTGCAAATCTGACTTCAAAAAATGTACGTCATGCTTAGACAACCCATAATACACAAAAATATCGATACTGAAACATTAACCCACATTCATATCAACAGATTAAACCTTCAACAACCATGTAAATTGCTTAACCAAATGCATCTTCTCTGTTATCACTCCCCTTATTTATTATTTATTTGTCGATAAGGTACGTCCAAACAAAACTAACACGCAAAATCTAAATGCTCCGATATAATAAGTAATATCACACAAAGAAAACATATTAATAGTATTAAAACAACCAAAGGTTATCTCCAGTTCCACATTATTTAAGAGCTAAGAGAAAATTCTTGCCATTAATCAAAATGCCTCCAAGGTCAGAAACCGTAGCCGTTTCAACCCTCAAAATCAAACCGCCCCCAAATCGCAGTCCCGCCCAAAATGGCACCTTATGGTTGAAAGACAAGCACGAAACGGACGGAGCTGAGGGCTTATGGCGGGTCCACGACAAACTCTACGACTTAAGCAAGTTTCTCAAAAACCATCCAGGGGGGTCCGAATGGCTAGAACTCACGAAAGTAAGTTTGACTCGTACTCTGATCCGGTCATTTCTGAGCTTTTCTTAGGGAACTGACATAACCGAGGCGTTTGAGGTACACCACCTTACTAAGCTCCCCGAACAGCAACTAGAAAAACACTTCGTACGCAATGCCCGGTCCAAAAGGAACTCACCGTTTACTTTCAAAGATGACGGTTTTTACAGGACGCTGAAAGGAGAAGTTATGGAAGTTTTGAAGACTTTGCCCAAACAACCGGTTAACACTTCGGCTGTTTTCACGGATTTTCTTCTAGCTGGGACGTTTGTTTTTGCTATTATTGCAAACAGTTTTTGGAGCTATAAGATTGCAGTCCTGGGGGGTCTCTTCCTTGGGTGTTTGACGATTGCCGCCCACAATTATTTCCACAAGAAGGATAACTACAGGATGCTTTATTTTAACTTTTCCCTTATGCAGACAAGGTAAGTCGATGGGTTAATTTAATTGATAAATTATGTATAGTGTTGTGATACGATTATGTAAACAGCTGGTGAAGACAATGAATAGCTTTCCATAGATTGATTTAGTGATTCGGTTTAACAGATACTGCACGTGCTGGAATTAATTAGCGTAAAGGAACGGTAATTTGTCATAAATTAATACTAATTAATTCAATACGCTCCAGTTGGGTTTTTTACACAATTGCTCGTGACCAAAACATTATTTAACAGTCTAACTCTTGCATAACGGAAACATAATTTAACAAAAATATCTCTGTTTGCAATGAGTATAGATATTACATTTTTTTACTCTCAAAGTATTTGTTCACAGAACACTAACAATATAAGCACAATTTCCGATCCTTTATTCTACTCTTTGTGTTTTGTCCAAATTTTCTTTACATTCACACTTTTTTCCGACCCGAATTTGGCGTTTTGCTTATTTCGTTTTTCTTAAGTTTCTTTTGATTTCTCAATTTTTGCTAACGCTAACATCCACTTTTGCACCATTTTACTCCATACATATTCCTGTATTTGAAATCACAGTAGCCATATCAGTTGGTACGATAAATATAATTTCTCTGTTATGTAACGAGTAGTATCTATTTTATTGCCCATTATTTTGAATGAAATTAGCTAATTAAATGTTTTTATATCTTAGATTCATTCTTTAACACCAAATATTTTTATTTACTATTTCATAACACATGCTCAAGGCTAGTTAATAAGGTACTTATACACCCAATTGAACAACGTTTTTACGATATCGCTGCGGCGCCAATCTTCTAAAACAAAAATAAAACACGAAATTAATTCCGATAACACCAAAAATCAAAACAAAATAGTGGAAAATCACACTGCGGGTCAGTGACTATCAGTCGACAATTTGCACACGATTTGCTAAAAATGTCATATCTTTCTTCACAGAGAATGGAGGATCAGCCACGTGCTCAGCCACCATCTTCACACGAATACTATAGACGATATGGAAATTACCATGAATGAACCCATAATACCATTCCTCCCTCATGAAAAGCCCGCACTCGCTAAGTATGGGTACTACGTGCTCTTCCCCATATACTGGATTATTGCGTTCCATGTCAATTTTCTGAAAAGGGTTGTTTATATTATAAAGGGTGACACCCATCTAATCCAGTGGTACGACTGGGTACCATATACGCTACCGTTAGCGATGTATGTATTTGGCGATCAGTCACTGTTGGCCACTTTGTGGATGTGGACGGTCATCATTTTGGTTGGGAGTTTCCATTTCTCGGCAGTTGGATACAATGCTGCCCATCATCATCCGGATATTTTCCATGATGGGGATGCGCCAAGGTAGGTTGCCTGAATGTTATTACAGAAAAGATTTAAATTATTATTACAAGACGATCTTAAAAAAAATACAATACAAATGCATAATTTTTTATGGTATCAAGAAAGTATGCAACCTAAAGTACCGAGTGACTATTTATATTTGAAGCAAATTTTTGTGGTGGCAATTGTGAATTATTGGGATTCCTGCTACTAGATCAGTTCAAACGTGTTGATGGTTTGAGACGATGGCAGCTGTCATAAATGTGACTTTGACAATCAGGTTCAAAAAAAAAACTTTGAATGACTTGGAATAAAATCAATTCAACGTTCTGAATCTGACTAACGGGCCAATTTCAAGTTGGTTTACAATTAACTGCAAGCGCCGTTGCTATGGTGATCTCGTAGAACTCTTAATACAAACCATTATATTTTTGCGAGGTTACCATAGCAACGCAGCTTGCAATTAATTGCAAACCAACTTGAAATTGGCCCGTAAGTGAATTTCATGAAACCTCCTAGTAAATGTCTGTTACGTTGTGTTAGAACCAGTTAACGAATAAATTCTAACCTGATCGGTGAATTTACAAACAATAAAACAAATTTACAGCAGGTGCAGCGTCGGTCGAAAATTAGCACTTTTTCCGATTAGAAAGCCGCAAGAATTAGCTGCGCGGGTTGGGGAAAACTGAGCGCCATTGTTACGATTAATTTTCGTTAAACAGAGGCTTCCTCCCTTTTATTAACTACCAAACCAACTAATTTAATACCATGCCGCTATCTTGTCTACTCTACCACCCTCTAACTAAAACATCCCCTAACGAGCTACCAACTATCCACAAATCGCTAACGTGCACATGGTTGCCTATGTTTAACGATTTTTTTTATTGTTATTTTTCTCAAATTCAAATTATTCAAATGTGATTTCGCGCCGATGTTAATTAATTTCACCGCGAAAATTTGATTCAAATGCGGTCACCACAGTGTTTCGAATTTTTTACCTTGGAATTTTGTTTTCATATTATATTATTCCGAATACATGAAATGAAAAGAATTCATTGTGATTTCAAATTAATATGAATTTAATAATATTTAATGTAGTAATAATAATTGTTGTACCTTGAGATTGAACACTTTTTGAGTTATAGTGGACCTTGACATACGCTGCTTAGTTGCCACCGTTGATATGAAAACCATAATATATGAAGTACTAACGTGTTTATCTGTCAAATAAATAATCGTCTAACAGGACGGCAGAATTGTTTTTTAATTTTTCAGCACCAGCTCACCGAGTTGCTCGAACATTTTTCATTAAAGTTATTTAGAGTTATTTATTAGAGTTTTATAAACAAACTTGGTAATATTTCGTTATCTACGCAGTCTTAATTATAAGGAAGTTTCAAAAATATGAAAAAGATATTTCTGTGACAACACGAAAAGCGTAATGTGGTGTCCTGATTTGAATAATTAAATTTTTCGCTGAGAAAAAAATTTTTCAATAGCGTAGGCAATCACCCATATTTTAGTTTGTCTGCGAGAATAGCGTAAAAAATTTACCCTTAATTTGACTTCCTTTTTTGTGCGTCATTTCTTGTTTTGGTGTTGTGTAAATACGTTTAAAATTAAAATTTCGCGCTGAAAAGAAAACAACGGCTCGAAATCGCATTTGAAAAATTTGAATTGAAAAAAAAATGTAATGAAGAAAATCGTTAAACAAAGGCAACCATGTGCAACTTTAGCTCTTTTCTGATAGTTGTTAGCTCTCCTAGGGAATTTATTGCTTAGCGTCACTATTGTTTGTTGTGAGTGAGAGGACGCGATAAGGTCAGGTCAGGTCAGATCAGGTCAGGTCTTAAGTTTAGTTGGTTTAGTAGTTAAAAAAAGGGGGAAGCCTTTGGTTAACGAAAATTAATCGTTATCTACGACGACGTCACAGTTTCCAGCACAAGCGTAGCTAATTATTGTTGTTTTTCCAAGCGGAAATACGCGAATTTTCGAAGGACGCCAACGCGTGGTGTAAATTTGTTTTATTGCTTGTAAATTCACAGTTCATGTTAGGACTTTAGTCGTTAACTGGTTCTAACATGATTTAACAGTCATGGGATTGTTCAGATAAAGCACTTGCTACGAGATTTCATGCAATTCACGTAGTCAGGACTCACCCTAGATGTTTATCAAGTAATAAATAAGGTTTCTGGATGCTTACACTCAAGTGTTACATTATAACACTTCCTGATTCCTCACACAAGTTTGTTAATAGTTCATTTACGGCAGTTAAATCAACCTAACGTGGTCCCACTCTGAGAAAAGGATCGTGGAAAGTGCGGTAGAATTCATAATATCGTGGACTGAGAGACGGGGGGATTAAAATTTTTCCCCTTAGACAATTATCATCATCACATTACGGAGACAGATTTCTCGCAACGAGGGATGCAGCTTGTGTTTATTTATCATGTGTTTGTTTGGGATAAGGTAGGGACAGTCCACGATATAAACTCTCAAAGCTAAATGTTTTTTAACTAACCAGTCACTGGAATCAAGGCATAATTTCACATAATGTAAATTCTTTATGTGAATCGCTGATAAAGTGTGGCATAATTTAACATAATGTAAATTCTTTGTTTGAGTCGTTGATAAAATATGGCATAATTTAACATCAGGTAAATTCTTTGTGTGAATCGCTGATAAAGCGGGGCATAATTTAACGTCATGTAAATTCTTCATTTGAATCGTTGATAAAGTGTGGCATAATTTAATATCATGTCACATCACGCTGTGGTGTGTGCTGTGAGCTCGTCGTAATTGATTGGTTTTATAGTGGTTTTTCAGTGAAACTATTCTAAATTTTTGGTTCATTGTACAAGAATGAAAGGTCTGATCCTCTTGGGGGATTAGTGCATCCATAAGTTAAAGGGTTTGTGGTAAATTAGCGAAAATTGTCAGGTTTATTATCTGCAGTGACCTAGTAGTATATTTTAATCACTTGTTTTTACATTCTGCATAATAGATAGGCGCTGATTTGTGTTTTTCACTGCCTCCCTTGTGGAGGCGGTGTTTTCTTTATTTTTCTAGTTGTTGCTTTATATTTGGCTATTTGCAAATTATCACCTAATGGCGGTCAAGTGTCATAAATGTTTGCGTACAATCGGACGTACGGATAATTACATCTCCTGTAAAGATTGTTCCCATAATTATCACGTTTCATGCGCTGGTGTATCAGATACTGCATTTGATAATATGCAGGATGCAGGACTCCTTACTAGCTTTTGTTGTACATCTTGTAAATCGAAACCTGGTGTGATCTCTGGAGTTTGCATTAAATCTGGTAATACAGTTTCTTTGGATAGGCAAGGTTGGTACCTCTCCACTGACCAGTTTAGAGAATTAGTGGCAGGCATTGTTAAAAGTGAATTGCAGCCTTTCGTGGATAAAATTGATATTTTACAAACAGAAATTCGTAATCTATGCTTGGAGAATTCTCAACTACGCAATGAAGTCGTAAAATTAACCAAAGATTCACATTCTCGTCCAGTTACTGAAAATAATTTAACACCTATTGATGTGACCACTAAAACGTCTTATGCTGAGGCTATCGCTAAAAATTCTCAGCAAACTGTTATTATCAAACCAAAGGATAAGACTCAAACAGTTAACAAAACTAAGTCTGATATTATGACTAGCGTGGACCCTGTTGAATCTTCGGTTAACATTGGTAAAGTGAAGAACCTTAAAGATGGCTGTGTGCTACTAGGTTGTGATGATGTTAAGCGATTTACACAATTAGCGAAAAATAAACTTTCTTCTGCCTATGATATTCGCGAAATTAAAACGCTGCGTCCTCGAATTAGAATAGCTGGTTTATCTGATGATGTTGATAAAGACAGTGTTATAAATTATTTGACTAAACAGAATGAATTTATCTTTGATAACAGTAACGAATACAAGTTATTAAAATACTCTCCTGTAAAAAATAAGTCTGATCGCTTCCAAGCAGTTATCGAAGTAGATATTCCCACTTATAAAAAAGCGGTTAGCATTGGTCATTGCTTAATTGGTTTAAATAGCTGTTCAATTTTTTGTGGTATCGATATTTCCCGCTGTTTTAAGTGCAATGGTTTCAATCATTCGTCTAAATACTGCAAAAATAATTTATGTTGTCCTCGTTGTACTGATAAGCATGAGTTAAGTGAGTGTAAAGCAGAGACTCTTTGCTGTATTAATTGTAAAAACATAAAAGGTACTGGTACTTCTGAGCTTATTAATACCGATCATGCTGCATGGGACCGCGATAGTTGTCATGCATATAACACGGCCATCAACAAAATAAAACAAGATCTCTTTCGACTATCGGCATAGCAATCAACTTCCATATTATCCGAGGATGTACCTTTCTTCTTCACAACAAATCAGGATTTAAGTTCTTCCTGGGAAAGCTTAGCTTCACACATTAACATCAACGCTTCCCTGACTTCTTCTACACGATCAGTATCTGTATATTCTTCTTCTCATACTCGCTCTCCTAATATTCTAGTTTACTATCAAAATGCTAGAGGTTTAAATTCCAAACTGGTTGACTTACGTAATTCAATGATTTGTTGTGATTTTGATTTTGTCTGCATTACGGAGACTTGGCTTAGCTCTTCGATTTTTGACTCTGAATTTTGTCCAGATCATTTCCAAGTTATTAGATCTGATAGGAACTTTGAAAAAATGAATGTTTCAAAAGGGGGAGGCGTCCTGTTAGCTGCTACTTGTGAATATACAGTATCTCAGATAGATTTACAGTCTCGAGGATTTGGATCGTTGCAATTCACGGATTTAGTTTGTGTCAAATGTTCTGCAGCCAGTTTCATTATCTATATTTTCGTAATTTACATACAACCTAAAGCCAATGTCGAGGAATATGAATTGTTATTTCATTTAATCTCTGCCACAACTGAATTATATAATCAGCGAGTTCTCCTAATTGGGGATTTTAATATTTCTAATTATTATCAATACAGTTTATCTGGTTTTGTAACGGG